AGACTTTCAATTGCCGCTGATATACTGTCACTGATGTCAATAAATTGCCTTCACATTGGGGTTTGGGAGTTTTAGTCCACAGCCGATCGAGATGCAAATGTTTTGTTGAGGAGACCAAAACCTTCGCCGTCGCCTGACCACCGTGAAACAGTAGATTGAGAGAGAGAACAACGATCTTTCTTTGATCCACATCGCTTCCGGATCCTGAACACACCAACTGCCCTCCATCGAAGCTCCGGCCACCACACCGTGTTGCCTTCTCAGATCCACCACGGACAGCACCGCTGAGGAAAGCAATCGAGAACCTCCTAGTTCAAATTATCATCCACTATCTACAATGAAATTATGAAACTAACCTACTCATTTGTTGAATCATATTTGGCTTCTGAATCAAAAAAAAAAATTAAAAATCAACATCGGGGAAAAAGAGAAGAAAAACCAGCGGCGAAGAATATTTTTTTGTATTTATATTTTATTAATTAAAATAAATAGATAATTAAAATGATTGAAATGAAAATTATTTACAGACACGTCATCAGTTTTTACTGGAAAGTGAATAGTTCCGGTCACTTTTTTGGCGGCGCAAACTCAAAAGTTAATTTGAAGGTTTTATGTGTAACTATAATTAATTTAAAAGTTTAAACTGTGAGTGTAATTCCACCAAAGTTTAAAGTGTTAGTTCTTGTAACTTTGAAGGTTAAAAATGCGATTTTCCTCTTTTTAAAATCATTTCTAATTTGCGGATTGTGTTTTTTTTTTTAGAAATGGAAAATGAAACTCTTAATGTCTCCTCAGTTGATCAGACCACCACTGTTGGGACTGAACAGTTCCAGTTTGGGACTAAACAGATCCAGTTTGGGACTAAACAGATCCAGTTTAGGACTTTTCCATCAGTGACTGTGGTTATCCCACCTCCCATCTCTGCTACTGTCCAAACTGCGGTCACTGGACAGTATCAATCGGTTCAGATGCCAGCTGTAACTCCAGTAGCTGTCCTTCCCGACAAGTTTGATGGCAGCAACTTTAAGATGTGGCAGAAGAAGATGTTCTTCTATCTGGCCACACTTAAGCTGGAAAAATACACCTTGAAGAGAAACCTATTCTATCATCAGATAATGATGATGTCTATGCACTTGCGAGCAAGTTAGCATGGGAACACGCAGACTTCTTCTGCAAAGGATACATCCAGAGTCGTCTTGCTGATGCACTATTCAATGTGTATAGCAATGTTGAGACGTCTAAAGAACTATGAGATTCTCTAGACAAGAAGTATCGCACAAAAGATGCTGGATCTCAGTAATACGCTGTGGCAAAATTTCTAGATTACAAAATGGTGGATTCCAGACCAATAATGGATCAAGTGGGAGAGGTACAAACTCTACTCCATGAAATCCATACTGAGGGGATGAGGCTGTGTGAGACCTTTCAGGTCGCATGCATCATTGAGAAGCTCCCACCTAACTCCTTCTATTTCTTTATTTTTTCGTAAGTCCTTTTCCGAGAGTAGAGTAGAATTATTTCGTTTAGATCCGTGTTTCTTAGTGTTGTTGAAAACAGATAAGCTTGGTTGTATCCTGCAACTCTTGGATCACAGAAACCTGTCGCACTACGAGCGATTCAAACACTACAAGAAAGAT